AAATGTGAAGGCATAGGCCGACACGGTACATATGATGACAAATAAAGGATAAGCCGTTGATGAACTTTCACCGACCGTTTACGGAATTCACTTGTCCCGCTCTACTTTGGGTCTCGTTTCTCGGGCTCTGTCAGCACCAGTAGCGGCTAGTAGTCCTAGACTGGAATGCCCATCTGTGAATTACTAGCCGTCGTCAGCTAGTCGCACCCAGCTTCAAATGGTGCGCCACTCGCGGCTCGAACTCTCGACCCGTTTGATCAGAGTCTAACGCCCTACTCATTGAGCCAGGAGCTCGTTGTTGTGCCGGTTTAGGTCGGGAGATATTGATACTCGTAGACGAACGCTCACCGACCGCTAACGGAACTAAATTGTCCCGTTTTGCCTTAGGTCTCATTTCTAGTGTGCTGACGACGGGCATATAAGCCAGGGATGGCCATTCCAGTCTTCCTTGTCTCGTCCTCTGTTCAACTCAATAACGTGACGTGTAAGTGTAGGAATTAAACTTTTTCCTATAACTTAATGTTGGCGATCAGCGTATACTTGACAAACGCAGAGCCCTACGTTCCATCGAACCCGATATCTACTTAACCCTGCTTATCAATTATCAAAAAATATACAGTTTGAAGGAGAGGACTGTGTTTCTTGTTTAAGTTTTCATATCAACTTACTTCCTCTACCAGCTGATAAAATCGACGTAGCGTTTGTCAACCTCGTATTGTTATTGCTCGTTCGGACCTCTACCATTCTCATCAGACAGCTTGCTCGGAAGCAGCAGAAATCTTTACAGGAAAGTATGACTAGGGAATCTATCGCAGGGGTGAAGGGAGCTTAACCCTAGCAACTGCGATCTTCAGACTATGATTCCTTAGAAGAGAAGAAGTCTTGGAAAGGCCAGAGTATTAGGAATGGAGAATAAGCGGGAAGAAGTTTGACCTTGGAGCGCACGACCAGCTAGGAGGCTAGCCGGGTCCTAGGTCCCGGGTTAGCAGTAGGCATGCCAGCGGCCACAGAGAGTGGTCATTGTCTGGGTCGGCCGTGAAGGTTATTGGCCGGACAGACTGCATGGTCCTAGGCGTGCATGCGTCTTATTAGCCGCCGGCCGAGGCCATCTTTGCGGCATCTGTGATTTGCTGTTAAAGAGACCACCTTCAGTGCGGGCGCACTCGTTAGCAGCGGTGGGCCCTAGCGCATGTTTGCCTATGTGGAGTGAGTCACCACAAATCGTCCAGCAGCTGCTTCATTCCCTCTACTACGTCTTGTAATCATTTTATTCCAATGTTAATTGAATTTATCTTCGTTATTGTTAAGCAACAGTTTGGCGCGAATGAAGGGACCCAGTGAATATGTGGCGTATCAAAACAACAACCTAAATTAAGTCAACCGAGAGTAAGTGCGTATAATATGGCCATATACGGGGTCAAAACACCTACTGATTTTCCGTCAACTCTGCTTTGGTTGGTTAAGAATTATCCTACAATTTAAATATAAATGGCCTCCATGTTTGCTCATCTCATTCACAAAGTGCGCACCATCTTTCGCACGATGAACTTTCCTCTGCTATCTCTAGTAGTGTTGTCGGTGCTTGGAGCTTCGGAATCGAAGCAAATTGTGTCGAAAGGTTCCGAAACTGTTACCTCCGCCGTTACTACTTCGACGATACTAGGAAAACCACCGAGTGAATGTGTCGGCTACATCGAACATCTTTGTATCGGGTGGCAAGGACATGACCTGGATCTTGCATCTCAATGGTACCAAGGCCTGCCAAGTATGCTACAGCGGCAAGGGTGGCCTCTTTGAAGACCTAGACGCGTGCATGGAATGTCATAAACCTTTCGCAGTCCACTTCAAACACTTTCCCCACTGTCTCAAATGTCTCAGTATGTTTAAGCCAGACCCCAAGGTCTGCAACCCCTGCTTTCTGGATGCGAAGCATAAGGTGCACACGAAGCTCTGCGCTGTGGATAACAGAGTGAAGACGGCGATGGACAGGATGCGGCTCCAGTTCGGATTGCATTTCTAGATGCACTGTGAAAAAAGAACTGTAAAATATCAGTTCGATGATAACGTATCAGTTTTTCCTTCCTCGATACATTTACTTATGGTGAAATAAAACTGTTAGGGTTTATTGTCACATTTCGTTTTGATATATTTAGGTGAGCCCTCCGACAAGGAGTGTGTCAGATGTTCCTGATGGTTGGCGTTAATGCATACATTACTTTGTCGAAGATTGGTTTCATCTAGCGAAGCCGTACTGGGCGCTAGCGCCACTGTGGCTGACTCATCACGCCAAGGCTGCAGTCACGCTGACTGCCCGCACCCTGTCC